TTCTTTTCTATAGAAGACGTCCTGGAATACTTTGGCATATGATTTCCCAACCTTCATCGAGTATGACGCCGACTTTTGAATAGGCTTCTGTTCTCGATTCTTTTATCCTCCAGGTTATTCGCCGTGCTTTGTCGACAAATGTCTGAAAGGGTTTCCGGTGCCCTGCATTTATTGTCTGACCGTTGTTGGAATTTTGAACTTGTATTAAGTCGGATTCCTGCATTTTTTAATCTTCTAGCTCGTGTTTTGCTGTTCAACATTTAGAACTGACCATCGGATTGCTTGCGCGTTGAGTCTCTATTTTACAATACGCGTTTCGTCTCGGCGTTTGACATAGTTTAATACTTCATACGTCTGTCGGAGTGTTGTTGGAGTTATCCTTAAGAATATTTTTAGAAAAATACTCTCCAGAAACTTCTCAACAAAAATAAGGAATAGTTTATACTCGTATACCTTATTGCCGCAAGTTAGGTCGTGTCCTAACGAACTGAACCGCCCTTTGGCTTCTAAGACTGGTTCAAGAACTGGTTTAGCTGCGTATTCAGCCCTGGTTTCGGCTAGTTCTTATCCTGGTTTTGGTCTGTCAGCGCTGGTTTGGGTTCTGGTTCAGCCTCCTTCTGAAACTGATTTAGCGCTGGTCTGCGTCGGGCTTCATTGAGTTGATCTTAGAACGACTATCTTCGTCACATCGTTTGCGCGCTGACTGCATGGGTTTCAGATCACTGTTCAATGACTTTTTTGCGTCGCAACGCGGGACTGCCTTGATTCCTTAGGCCGGTACGCCCCGTTGACCGACTGTTGGTGACCCTAGGTGAGGTTATTCTATGCCCAAAAACCGGCAACTATAGCCCGGACCGGTCGAATCCTGATTGCGATGCTAAAGGTTGCCTTTTGTTGCTGTTAGGACCTTGTCCGTAGCCTGCCCTAGCGACATCACGCGTTGTTTAACGTCGTACCGTTGACTGCTTTGATCCGTTAACGCGCTTAATTAGCGTGACCCATAGGTTACGCCGTGACTGACCAGCGTGACCCAGGCGTTCGAATCGTCGTACGTGACTGTGATCGCAACTGCGGACCGGCTGCTTGTGTATGTACCCTAGCCGCTTACGTCGCGTTGACCGCGCGGTTGACCTAGCGGTTATCGAACGTCGTACCCGTTGACTGTTTGATCCGCAACGCGTTTCGACTCCGCGCGTTGAACCCTGCGGTCTACACAGTTTTAAGCCTCTTAAGTTGCTTGAGAGCGCTGTTGTCTCTAGCCAAAGGTAAAAAATATTCCGCGGGGGTGATCCATGAATTGTCTGAGCGGGTAATCGAGACTACATTGAATAATCAACCATGAAGCATGATGACATTCTAAACTTAGAGTGATATCTCTTGGCAGGAATTTAATACAGGAAAATATCTCATACTATCCTAAGAAAGAACGGCCTATATCGGCCCCCCTCCACGGCCTCCGCATTTCTTTAATCAGTGTTTTTGTTATCTCCTTCAGATTTCAATTTGGTTAGATAATGTTAATAAAGGGTCCATGTTTGAAACCTACCATATTATATCCTGGATGTCTTTATGTGCTATGTAAATATTATTATGTGTGTTCATCTATATTCCCGTGTGAATCTTGGGCTATGACTCAAGTCGACGGAGACCAACTAATGAGCTGTGATGATTCGTCTTTAATTGGAGTTGGTTATAAATAGATTTAAAATGCGTAGAGTAAAATGACCGGGTGTGTTGACTCTCTAATCTCCTATCCGTAGGCTTTTACTGTATTAGTGGATCCTATGGTTCACGATTTCTTGATCCGGCGGATATATTGACTGGTACGCCCACGCGATCAACGGTGGCTCTTGGCATGAAAATTAGGGTGGCCCATGCAGGGTTCACCATGGTCAGTATGCCTATCTCAGTGTAAGCCAATAGAATGGATAATTTAGATCACATATATAACTACTTTTATCTATTGAGACTTATTCCTTGAGTGTTTGTCCATATTTTCCCTTTGATTTCATTATCGTTCACAAGTTGAGATTTATTTTTGACTCATATGAAAAGAGCAAATTTTTTTGGTTTTGTCGGTCATTTTTCGAACTACTTTTGAGTCTATACTTCTCCTTGTCTCGGTAAACTATTTATTTTATTTTTTATTATTTTCAACGTTTTTTTGGTTTGACTTATATATCTTTAGCAATGTATTGTTTTTGGCCATAATTTATTATTAGTCCTTTGTATTTCATGACATCAATTGCTGTATATTGATAGCCGCTGGATTAT